AATTGTCAAGTAATAATTTATGCCATGTATTTAATGTAGAATAGATTATTTATCTCATGTTTCATATTTTCCGTCAAAATAATTATTTACTGTTATACTCACATGCTTCCTAAAGACCTATATTTAATAAATGATTTCTTTATATATGGACATATAAAGAAACATAAATTAAATCAAGCTTTAAAAAATTATGCCAATATGTATCTTGATTCTACTAAAATAAAATTGCTGTTTAATAGTTAATGTTCCTATAAAATTTATACACTGAAAATTTTATTTTATTGTGATTTTTAGATTTTACAAGTAACAAACTCTTCCCGAAGACCTCACGCAGACGTGAACCAACTGCTACCAGTAGTTTCTCAAAGTATGAACAACCAAGGAAGTGCAATGTACAGAAAACAAAAAGTTTTGATAAGAGACCAAAACCTAAAGGACAATATCATGGCAGTGCAAAGGAGGATACCAAGGTTTTTATTCAGATTCTAATATTTCAAACTCAATTATAGTTCAATTAAATTTTTCACAATTTGTTCTAGGTAGTGCAAACAGAAGTAGCTGAGCCTGGCTCAGTAGTGGTCCATGGAAGTAAAAAGCAGAATTTGAATCACTTGCTGAATTTTCATTATGAACCACGTGAAATGCAAAGTGGTTCAGGTGTATGGAGTAATGGGAAATCTACAAAGGGTTACTCGCGCAACAGTAATAGGTGGCTTCCACCAGTCCAGCGACATAAATACAAAAAAGAACAGTATTTACAAGCCAGGTGAAATGATGTTACAAACAAATGCACCTGAATTTATTGAAATTTTATATTTTTATATAAATATAAATATTATCTTCCCTTTAGCTACCAATTTGTTGTGACTGCCAATGGAAATTATTTATCTCATCTGACTGATCCTGATACTCTAGTTGACTGGAAACTAGTAGAACAAATTGTAAATTATAAATGATATTCTCAGAACTTCTTGAAATTAATAATAATATTTAAAATAACATTTTTATTTCAGATAGTTCATCGTCCTGAAAGTTTGTCATGCCCCATTTGTTTATGTACACCAGTTGCTGGAAAAATGACACTTTGTGGTCATGTTTATTGTTGGCCTTGTATTCTCCATTATTTATCGCTTTCTTGCAAGCCTTGGAGTAAATGTCCTATTTGTTACGAATTAATTCAAAAATCCGATTTGAAAAGGTAATTTCAGTGAAAAACTAAAAAAGTAGTTAGAAGGTCGGAAAATGAAAGTTTTTAAAATTCTTTTATTATCATTTTTAGTGTCACAGAGATCATACAGAGCACACTGAATATAGGAGATATTGTTACTTTACGTTTAATGCGTCGCGAAAAAGGATCCATGCTCGCCGTTCCCGTTGGTTCTACAACTCAAAATCCAACAAATTTTTTCTCCGTTGCAGAGACCATCAGCCACGAGGTGTACTCAAAACTCCTTATTGCAAATACAGATGTCGTAAGTACTTATAATTTTTGGTGATTAAAACACGTAATTTTTAAAACTTTAATGTCCTGATAATATTATTTAGATAATGAATATTATTGAATGCGAACGGGTACAACTGAAACTAGAAATGTTAGATAATCCTCATTCACCAGAAAATTGCTACATCGAACAAGCACTTAATGAACTTTCAAAAAGAGAAGAAGAATTATTAAATGAGGTAATATAATTACCTAATTAAAACCTATTGCATTATTTACAACGTGGAAAATAACATTTTTGGTTGCAGATAAAATCAAAATCAGAAGTGGATGCAACAACACAAGAAAAGGAGAATATCATCGAAAACGAGCAACCAGCTCAACGGGAATTAGAAAATCACGAAGAAACCAGCAATATGGTTAACAAAAAAGAAATAATAAATGATGATGAAGAAAATTCCAAAATAGTAGGCAATTCAAACATTTCTCAGTCACCTTCAGGCGTAAAAAAATTTTTTTACTTCTATCAAGGTTTGTAAACACAAAATATTTTTATTATATCTCTTTTTATACTTATAACAACTTTATTTTTAAATTTTTAGCGGATGACGGACAACATTTGTATCTTCACGCAATGAATGTAAAAATGTTGGAAAGGCAGTATGGCAGTCTTGAAAATTCTCCTCATTCAATAAAGGGAAAACTCTTGGAGAAAGAGAGTGGAAGTCTCACCGATGATCTAAGACGTAGACTGAGGTATTTGTGTCATTTACCTCTTACTTGCCAAATTGAAATAGCAGAAATCGATTTGAAACCACCGATTTTATCAGAAGAGGTCCTTACATCATTTCAAAGTAATTTTCATCTATTTTATAAGAAAAATTTGTTTTACTTTTTATCTATAAAATAATCCACGTTGAAATATTTTCCAGATCAACTGGCAGAGAGACACAGGGTCAGGAAACAGCGAGAACGAGAAGAAAGAAAGAGAGAGAAGAAGATCACAGAGGAGCAAAATAAGCGAATGGGAAAATTTCCAAGACCAAATGTCCACATCGATTCACAAAGACATTTTCCACAGTGGCAACCAGAATTATTATTTTCTGAGTATGTATATTTTATTATATATTACAATTATAATACTACATTGATACGTACGTATCTAAATCATCCTGACAGAATTTCTATTACTTCAACATTCATTTCATTATAGTGTTTTCACTTCCTGAAGATTTTAAAATTGTAGTGACGTAATGCATTATTTACATCACAATGATTCATAAAAAAAAAAAATGTGTATGATATTTATATTTATATATATAATCTATTGAACACGTTAAGTATATATGTCACATGAAATAATAGATTTTGTTCTCTACTTTCAATAATTTGACCAATTGAATTTTTAAGAAAATTTCAATCAATCTATCCATAAATTCTTTATGACGCTATAAAAGAGGTACACTTTACTTTTACTTTATGACACTAAAAAAGGACACTATAAAAGTGGTTTCTCCAAATTCCCTAGAATAAGGACAAATATAAACATTTATAACGATGCTGTGGTATGTACTAATTTTATATAAATTCAAAGAAAAAAAGATCGTTAATTATTTTCTACAGAATTTAATGTTTTGAAAGCCTCTAAGAAAACGTGTAATATTTTTTCAGATCATCAGCATTTTCATGCATTTATACAACACACAAACATTTTACATTCAGACTGAATGATTTATTAAAATTTGTCAAGATAGTATAGACTATGACAAATAATGTTCATACAGGGAAACTGTTCCATCTCCACTGGAATCAACAAGAACTTCGAGCATAGCTAGCAGTCCATCATTGAGTACATTTGACGAAATTGTTCGTAACAGCAAAGCCGACAATACCGCACATGAACAGGGACCATCATTCGCGGAAATGTTAAGGAACACCGGCACGCGCTTAAAATCTCCAGTTGCGTGGCCCTCTGCAACTTCTGCTAACGTAAAATCAAATTCGATTGTGTCTGCTCACTCATTTTCTACGGATGAAGAAGAGCATGCCTCACCACCAAGTCAAAGATTAGGCGATGCTTTGGCAGTCGCATTAGAGCAAACAAAGTTACTAGGCAAGTGTAATGACTTCATAACTATAAAATGATTCATCGCAAGTACGAAACAAGCCAAAATTTATAATGAAGACTCCGCTTTAATGTTTTTTAATAAATCTATTTACTTGCAATAATAATAATTTTACTTCTATTTTTCAGAGGGTAAGAAGGATGGTGGAAGAAAGAAGAAGAAGAAGAAAGGGAAATCGACCCTATTGTCCGCAACTACTATGGCACACACATCTTAATTTTTGCCCTAATGCTTATATTTTACGTTCATACATTTGAATTTTGTCAAAGATTTTCCCTTTACAATATTTTAGAATTTTTGGGTATATTTTAGAAAATTAATCCAGTTCTAGTACAGATTACAATCTTACAGTGTCTCATTGCACGCCTGTCCAATTTCAGTCATTGTATTATTGATTACCAAAAAATGTTTTTCGTAGCAGCCCTTTGCGCTTGCAAATAAAATTTTGTTTCATGAAAAAGTTCTAGTGGTTTTTATATTAACCAAGGAATCCTACACAAGTATCCTAGAGTAATGATAAAACTGTGTTTTATAGGTAATTTATTAAGTACTCTACGTAGGCATTTTTGTAATGTTACCGACGCAACGCATTTGGCCTTTATATTAACTTGTTTATATTTTGTTAATGAATTATGCGAAAATTACATTTAAATAGTGTTTTCAAAACGCCTTTGATGGCCCTATGATACGTAATTTAAAAATTCGAAAACTGATCTTATAGATTTTTTCAAGATTACCACTAGATCAAATAGATGGCGCACAATATGCCCCCCTTAAAATCATATAACTTCTGTCCGAAACACCCTATATACTGCGAAAACTCAATACAAATTTTAACATTGCTTCCTTCAAAATTATGAGCGAATTTAACAAAAGTTATTCATTTTACTTTAAACGAAAGTTGCCTATTTTATAAAGGTTTATTCGTGATTGAATTTTGAACGTTTGTGAGAGAGATTTATAAAGACAAAAAGAATATAACTTTATCTAAAGATCGTTATAATATTTTCCAGAATTGTAATTTGCTACAAATCCTACTTGGGAAGTAATAATTGAAGTCATTCAAGTTTTACGTAATTCATTTTATTTTTAGTCGAAATTTTGTGTACATAAAAGATCAACAATTGATTTTGAAAATGAACAGTTGATTCTCTATGTTCGCAAAATAATTTATTACATTTTCAATGGTAATGTGTGAAAATTAATCGACTTCCTCGATGGTAGGTCCGCCAGATGCACCACCAGTGGGAGGAGCACCACCTGGCATTCCACCGGGTGCATTGGGCATGCCACCAGGCATTCCACCTCCTTGGTACAGTTTCGTGACAATTGGATTGTAGACGGCTTCCAATTCCTTTTGTTTGTGTTCGAATTCTTCCTTGTCAGCCAGTTGGTTGGCATCAAGCCACTTGATGATCTCGTTGCATTTGTCCAGTACCATTTGTTTGTCACTTTCGCTGATCTTGTCCTTCAATTTCTCGTCTTCCACTGTACTTCTCATGTTGAAACAGTAAGATTCAAGGCTGTTCTTAACAGAGATGCGTTCCTTCTGTTTGTCATCTTCTGTACGATATTTCTCTGCTTCATTGACCATTCTTTCAATCTCCTCTTTGCTAAGTCGGCCCTTGTCATTGGTGATGGTGATCTTGTTCTCCTTACCAGTAGACTTGTCCACAGCAGAGACATTTAGGATACCGTTAGCGTCGATGTCAAAGGTGACTTCGATTTGGGGAACACCGCGGGGTGCTGGTGGGATTCCGCTGAGTTCGAATTTACCTAAAAGATTGTTATCCTTTGTCAAGGCTCGTTCTCCTTCGTAGACTTGGATCAATACACCAGGTTGGTTATCAGCGTAGGTAGTGAAGGTTTGAGTCTGTTTGGTTGGGATGGTCGTATTCCTCTTGATGAGTGCAGTCATGACACCGCCAGCAGTTTCGATACCAAGGGACAAAGGTGTAACGTCGAGAAGCAGCAAGTCTTGTACTGCCTCCGATTTGTCACCATGCAAAATGGCAGCTTGTACAGCAGCTCCGTAAGCTACAGCCTCATCAGGATTGATGGATTTGTTTAGCTCCTTGCCATTGAAGAAGTCTTGCAACAGCTTCTGAATCTTTGGAATACGGGTGGATCCACCAACCAAGACGATGTCGTGAATTTGAGCCTTGTCCATCTTAGCATCACGCAGCGATTTTTCGACCGGTTCTAGCGTTCCTCTAAAGAGATCAGCGCAAAGCTCCTCAAAACGAGCCCTGGTGATCGAAGTGTAGAAATCAATTCCTTCATAGAGGGAATCAATCTCAATACTTGCTTGAGTAGATGAAGACAAAGTACGCTTCGCGCGTTCACAAGCAGTCCTAAGACGGCGGAGAGAACGCTTGTTAGCAGTCAGGTCCTTCTTGTATTTACGCTTGAACTCCTGGACGAAGTGATTAACCATACGGTTATCAAAATCTTCACCACCAAGATGAGTGTCTCCTGCTGTGGACTTGACCTCAAATATGCCATCTTCAATGGTCAAAATAGACACATCAAAAGTGCCACCACCAAGATCAAAGATTAGGACGTTACGCTCGCCAGTGGCTTTCTTGTCCAAGCCGTAAGCAATGGCGGCAGCGGTCGGCTCGTTGATGATACGTAAAACGTTCAAGCCAGAGATGGTACCAGCGTCCTTGGTTGCCTGACGCTGCGAGTCGTTGAAGTAAGCAGGTACAGTGATAACGGCATTGGTGACGGTCTTTCCAAGGTATGCCTCAGCAGTATCCTTCATCTTTACCAAAACCATTGAACTAACTTCTTCAGGGAAGAAGGTCTTCATCTCTCCTTTGTATTGTACCTGAATCTTAGGTTTGCCATCATCATTTACAATAGTGAAAGGCCAATGTTTCATATCAGCTTGAACTGTGCTATCATCGAACCGACGTCCAATAAGACGTTTAGCATCTAAAAAAAAATGAAAAAGTAAAATTAGTTATAGAATACCAAAAATTATATTTATTGTTAATTCTATAAATTTAAAAAATAATTACTTTGTTAGATAAACGATTACAATTGTCTCTTAAAATCTCACATTATTTAAAAATTTGGGTAAAATTTATTTTTAAAATTTGAATGGAATAATTTTATGCAAAATTAACGACTTCTACAATGTAACAAATTAGCGGATGTAACAACAAAGTTATAACTTCGGCAATTTTTCAATTTATTGTGCTTCACTTTTAAGTTTTTATTATTATTTGATACGATTAATATTTTAAATAAAAATTTAAATATGCCCAAAAAATATCGAGGCCACTCGCTACTGCAAAGATGACCTAATAAGGTGCTAAACAGGCGTCCCCTAGGAGCCATGACCCTAACCATAACGCCATGAGGTTAACATATATAGAGTAGCATTATGGATTAACCTTTCAGTCAATTTCCACGCCTACTTCTCTGCTTCCAATATTACGTTAACCTTTGACTGCGCGTTTTTCTCAAATATCATTGAAATTACACGTAAATTAATGGAAAAAACCTACGATCTTTATGAACCTCGTAATACTGGAATTGTACTTAAAAAACTGAAATTATATGGAATTTCAATGAATTTAATATGCTTGACAACAAATTATCTCGCAAGAGAATATTTAGTCATGTTTATACACATTGAAACAAAATATTTCATTAGTTCCAAATTCAAATAAATATTTGCTGGAAAATCGATACGTATAAAATTTCCAGTAAAATGTCCGATTACGATTTTCAAAGGTAGGCATGATCGAAGCACCCGAAAAAGTACGTCTCACGAACTAGATAAGATATAGAATCAGTAGAAGAGAGATTCTCAGAAAATCACCGATGCGATCAACAGTTAGCTAGAAAATACTTACCGAAGATTGTGTTGTTGGGGTTCATAGCAACTTGGTTTTTGGCGGCATCACCGATTAACCGTTCGGTGTCTGTGAATGCCACATAGCTGGGTGTTGTTCGGTTTCCTTGGTCATTGGCGATGATTTCTACTTTTCCATGCTGGAAAACGCCAACACAGGAGTAGGTGGTGCCAAGATCAATACCGACTGCGGGTGCTTTGGCCATCTTTGCTTTTCTATAAAAACAAAAGGAAACAATGTTCTTTAAATAATTTTCAAAATCAGACTGCCAGCGATAGAAGATTCTGCAACGTAGCGCGTCCGTTATCACCTAAGGAAAACGTATACACACCTTTCTTTATGCGCTTATACAAGTTCCTTCTTGTAGGAAAGTGAAGAAGTTCTTCGTTCGACGATTCGCAACGTGAGTGAAGAGACCGCACCGTGCTTCCGTGTATATCACTTTTCCAGAGGACGCGTCTAGAATGTTCTTCCCACTCCCTCGCTACAAGAACCAATCAGATGCCAGTTTCAGCAGATCTTATTGGTGGATCTAATTCAACGATAGCTATTGGTGATGGCGCGAACTACGTGAATCAACTGTGAAATTTCAGCCGTTTATCGACCAGCCAAAATATCCTCTAGATAGCGTAAATATTTCGTATTTACCTTCCCCCCTTCGCCACAAAAATAGTTTCATAATGTCATGAATATGCATTTTTGGGATTAATGAATTTGTAAAGTTAATTTTCAGAAACATTTCCGGCTGGAACGGCAGACGACCCGGAAGTAGAAGTTAGAGAACGCTGGAAAAGTGGAGAAATACACTAATTCTAGAAGGTACCGAACATGGCCACATCCACGAACGTTTATGTAGTTTACATTTACATTGGATTCTGGATCGACTGTATTCAAGGACACCTCATTTCATTGACGTCCGAGACTTTATGGCTTACCTAATTAATTTTCTACCGAGCTTACTGACAATGAATTACGAGCACGTGTTAATCGTTCCAGCATTTTATGAAATGTGGATTGTTGCATTTTTATTCAGTGGATTTATGCATTAAAAAAAATCAAATTAATCAAATTAATATTACATGAAGGAATATGTAAATCTTGTTTCAGAAGTGGTCTACCTGGACTGTAAATATTAGAATTATTTGAATATTATGCTTAAATTGAATTTCGATAGACTCGTCATAAAAATATGAAGATCTTTTTCATGAAGAACCTGTGTAAAATGTTTCAGTTCCATAGCTTATATCGACGAAGTTTGACCATGAACTTGAATTTGTTACTAAAATCATATGTACATTATGATAATGTAAAACATGTCAGCATTCAAATTTTCGTTACAACAAGGTTCAAATTCGAATGAAATTATGAGAAAGAGGCTATTGAAAATTCTCACACGGTATCTCGAATTATATTACAAGTAACCTGAGCTTCATTGTAGCAAAAATTCATTGACTTCTTGAGATTCAGTCTTGCGTCACGCATTATGACGCATACATATGTATATGCATGCATACATTCGACCCATACGTATTGTGACGTATGAATCATACATACGCAAAATCTATAAGATATTTTAAATTCTACTCTGTTTCAATAAGACTGGTATATATTGTAAGAATACTGGTAAAAAGAATTGCATATTGTGTACATATTTTGAAATGAGTATAATTAATAATAGCGTTATTATAATTACATTTAGCAAATCAAATTAACATCGATTAAAAATATGTTGTATATAATTGTGCACATTTTATATATGTTAGATTCTCTATACATATTGCGAATGCTACAATTTTTTTTTTTTAAGCAATCAAAAGTTTGTAGGTTAGTTCGTACAGTTAATCATTTTTAAAATGATTTTATGTTTACCGTTGTAATTAAATCATGCAATTGGACTGTTACGAAGAATATGTAGTCATGCAGCAAAAGATGGTGTAGGAAATCGATGACGATAGCATTGCAGTAAAGTTTCCGAGCTACTATACAGAAACTTCCAGCATGTCCCAGTACAGTCCAGCTGCTTCTGTACAACTGTTCGACACGTTAGCTGTCTCACAGCATTGATCGGCGAACTATAAATTACTTATTACAGTTGTGTTAGTTTTTAAGGAGTTCTTACTGTAAATCCAGTTTATGTGTAGATTATTTCCATCATCATTTCTCTTGTATTAATTTCTGAAAATGTGAATTTGCGTAAATGTCTCTAGTTTAGTGATCGTATTCGTGAAACAACTCTGCGCAACAATTGGTTTAAGGAGTTATTTCCGCTCAATTGACCATCGTCGATGAGTATAGAGATACAAAATTTTGTTATCACTCCTATGACTTTATTGAAGTTTTTCGACGTAAGACCATAGCAGATGGAATTAACGTAATTCGACACAATTTTTTAAAAATTAAATTAAATTAGTTTTAATGTAATAATCGATAAATGTAAACTTTAGTTTTTGCAAGGCATTTATGCATTTCGATATTCTGAGGTGACAGTCATTGTTCAGCCTTGTCATCGTTGTATAGCTTAACGGAAAAATTCAAAATATCAGCGATGTCATGATACAACTGCAGCATTCCTGGTAAATTGCATGATTAGTATTGTATTCGCTGACGCAAATGCTTTAATTATATCAGATATTACTCGAATTGAAATAGGAATTGAAAATTATTTTATTCTTAATTTCGTATCCATATGTACATGTACAATATGTACAAGTTTCAATAAACATTTTAGACGAAATGTGATTCATCTTGTACATGACTTGAAATGTCAAGTTTACTTTTTCAACTGCATTTAGATCTTTTAGAATAACCTTGGGAGTAATCACGATTGCCTGACGGCAGATCGTTGAAACGTATCTTGATTAAATTCGATTTTGAAATTCATCCTTGAGTTTTTACTTACATACAGTACATGTTTTCTAGGTTGACCAGTACTATTCCCTAATGTTTTAAAACAAGTTTGTAAGGCATTTCATGTGTTTTGCAGTCACTATCTCGTGTATATTATAAAGATAATATATTATAATTCAGTTAAGAGATGCAAAAATATATTCTACGATGAAAGAATTGATTCTAGGACTTCTGTTAATTACAATTACAACGGAATACCGGAATATTTATTGAGAATGAAATTTTTAGATGATAGAATGTTCTAGTATCAAGATATTATTATACAAAAATAAATCTTCAAACAAAAAATGTCTACTGTATCTCGTTGTAATATAACACGTGAAATGCAATTTTCAGGAAATATACAGTATAGTATTATTGCTAACATTGAGTGTAAATATTTATTGCTTCTTTCGAATTATTCGAGAGTACACTCTGGAAAGATTTAGTCCATACCGACGGTAGGTACTCGCATTATCGATATTCAAGATATTCATATTCGTAGAAATTTTGAAATCAGAAAAATAATGCCAATCATAAAGCACAAAACGCGCATATTTTTATGAAAATAATTCCTTGCTGATTGTTTGCTAACATATTATTCATGATAGAAAATACTAGATATGAAAAATTGAAAATACTATTATATATAAAGTTTTTAAATTGAAACGATGAAATAAGTATGCAAAATGTACCGATGGATACATTCAATAAAATCTTGGCTTTGCGTCATAAGGGAATTACAAGATAAAAGTATGAGAAATTAAAAACTTTTCACAGGTCAATGTTGAGCATTTATGACGTAAATAGTAAATGGTATTCCTCAAACATTTGCATATTACGACAATGAATTAATGATGAAGTACTAGAACATTAAATAATTATGTTCACACTTTGTCAGGAATGAATCAATAACATTTTTAAGGACGGTGAAATTATATATATTTTATATATATTTATATATATATTATTATTATTTATATATATATTTATATATATTTATATTATATATATAATTTATATATTATAAAAAAATTTATAATTTACATTTAATTTACATTCGTTTTATTTTACAATTTTACATAGTACTGCTTACGTAGAGTGCTTGATTACTTGTATTTCGTTGCTGCTCCAAGGTTGTGACAAATTCAGCTACACTGTATTTGTACATAAAAGTGTCCTTGTTTTAAACTTTCGAGGCGAACGACTATTATTAAAAGATCCTTAGAAGGAATTTTTCATCTGATATACGTGCTAGCATAAAAAGTGAGAAGCTAAGTAATAAGTACTTACTGAAAATATTTAATAACAATTATCAAGTTTGTCGTGGATCGATAATATCTTAAAAGAAAAAGCGGGAATGATTGATTTCATCCAATTCTCGAATAAATATTTATTAAATACTATACCGTATCTATACGAACGAAGAAGCAACAATAAGTGCTGTACAGTGTTATCTGCCTTTACCTTTCCAATTATTTCATCATTTTTAACCATTTGATACGGTATTGAACTCCGAAAGGTATTCTTACGTTACGAAATCATTTAATTTTATTTATTTTAAAGAATCTTTCGTAAGTTTAAGGCTTCCAGCTTACGTTACATTTGCGTCTTATTAAATTATATTGATTGATCTTCATCATGTCAGATACATGTAATACAAAAAAATATCCAGCTTGTTAAATGTTACATTTGTATATTTTTTAAGTCACAGTTAAGTTGCCTTGACATAAGTTTACTAATAATTAGAATAAGCATTTATTTCAATGAAAACAGCTTTATGAAAATGAAATCGAATTTTCTTACGGTTAAAGCGTCAGTACATGATTTTACATTTCCATGCAAACACGTTTTTCTAGAGTACGACACGTTGCGAAGTTCGTAGACAGATAAAAAGATCTGTATTATACGGTTTTCAAAGGACCACCGTTTAGGCTGTGGGGCATTGTAAGGTTTCCAGATGGTAAGAGAAGAAAAACGGCAACGGCAGGTGATCGACGAAAACGTTACCGTCTTCTGAATGCCATCCAGGTGCCCTTTTTTTATGTATGATGCTCCAACACATGCTTGCAGTATGTAGCTTGTGATTGTGATCACGATTTACATTTGCTTGCAATTACCAGACATTCTGTATGTGTGTGTGTAGTTCCAGAATATTTTCAAATATTGTTCTTATTTAATCAATTGAACTTCTATGGTGAGGTTATTATATAAAAACAGTTACAGAACTGTATATAGAGTAATAGATTTTTCATTTTTGAAAAAATAGAAGATACGGTCGATGTTCGATAAACTTTTAAATATTGGATAATGTTTCAAAAAACAGTTTGAGTAAAGGATTTTCCTGAATCTATGTATATATAGGATATATTTTAGTATGTATTTAATAAATAACATTGCAGGGAATATATATTTTGTTAGTAATGCAGCTTCGTATATGTATATATACATACATCTTTTTAAACTTACACGTGTACACACGTATAGTTACTGCTAGCACTATGTTTATTGAATGACAACGTATAAGAAAGTAAAAATTTATTGAATTATNAAGAAAGTAAAAATTTATAAAATTATTCAATCTGCATAATACGGTACATTATTACATTTGTAATGCACTCAAAAATTAGTAGAGATAAATAATAGCCAGATCAGTCGAACATGAATTATAGTTAAACAAATAGAAAAGAAGATTTGAATATGCGAAATGATAGTTTTTTATTTGCATTTGTGAACATATATAACAATTAAAAAAAAAAAGATATGTCTCATAAAAATATAAATTGTTGACACAATAATGTAATGTACGTACATAATTAATATTCTTCATAATGATCGGTTTATATTACTTATGTATACATTAGTTAGTAGTTTTTAGTTAG